AAGAAATGGGTTCAATGGGTAATAACAAGTCATGATTAGTATGCGAAAAGTTCATGCATAGTGAAGCATGAATCCCAAAGCAACGGAGGTTGAGTTAATAACTCTTAATGAGATCTATACCCTATGTGAGGTGGAGTACTTTACTTTGGGGGTACTCCTGATAGACTCACCTATGTGAATGTGGGAGTGGGGCCGCTCCCTGTGGAACTTTGGAGGCACAAAGTTGCTAGAGCGTTCACTAAACTAGGATAATGTGCATGGCCATAGACACACGGGCTAAAGAGAGAACACAACTCAATGAAAAGATCTGGTGTGCTACATTGTCTGAGATAGGGTTCAAGACTACGAGTCACCCTTATGAAATCGAAAGTGTAACCACTACGCTAAGGTTCAAATCTTCGTGATACCTTAGCTTATGCCCGATCTTATGGATCGGTTGATGCTCAGATATAGTTTCAAACTATTCAAGTGGGTGATTGTTGGAAATGAATGATGAATAGATGTGAAAGCTATAGAGTCTCAAGGTGGAAAAAATTAGCACATTGGTAGTTTTACTTGGTGAAATGTGTATAAAGATAGAAGTCTCTCTCCTAAGCGCATGCCCCTTGGGGTGACCCACTTTTGTGGGAGATGGAGGACCTAACGGACCACCACACACACGCGCCCGTTCGGCCGGCCGACCGGTCGGTTGGTTGGCTTGAGACTATATACTTTTTGGAGAAATTCCAAACAAAATTAATTATCTAATAATTAATTATTCATCGGTTATTCTAAGGAATATTCTAAGGATAATCGATTAAAAGGAATATTCGAAGGATAATCCCGCAGGAATTATCTTGCAGACGCGTTTTAATTAAGGAAGTAATTATCTTCCTTAATTAATTCGACTTATTTCCCAAGTTAGAGGGTATAATCCTAGGGGTTCGGCTCCTATAAATAGTCGTCTCCCCAGCCCCTCGAAAAACACCACAATACGAGCATAAACACAATAGAGAGAGTGTTTAGAGAACTAGGGTTTTCGCACAAAACCGCGAGTATAGGGAGGAGCTGTTCTATCCTGGAGACGACTTGTTGATAGTCTGTCGTGCGCATCGAGTGCAGTACCGCGAACGTCTTAAAGAAAGCGACCTAATCCGCGACTAAGCTCCAGATTCGGTAACCTCGTTCTTGTTGTTGTTCCATTCCTAACAGTGCTTTATCACTTGAAGTTTTGTTAGCTCGACCCAACTAAGAGGTTGTAGTGAAGACTGGTGGTGGCGATACTTTCCATTTTTGGGTGGGGTGGGTGCTAAATGATAATTATAGGCAGATGGTGTGTAGATGGTGTGTATCCAAGGCTCTAGTGTTGCTCTAGTATATAGATGGATATAGCTAGTTTTGACAGTTGATTCAAGTATAGGCATACTGTAAACACTTAGCTAGTACATGTTGTTAGATGTTTTTTTTTTTTTTTAATGTCTATATTTTATCTAAACATTTTTTAGATTCTTTTTTATTAGCCAAATTTATCGAAATATTAAGAATTAACTAAATGTTAACTTTTAGTTAGCAATTTTGTAGCAATATTGAATTAGCAACATGATACTGACTTGGAAGAGACACATGAAGGTCAATATTCCAAAATTTTAATATTTTAAGTAAGAAAAAAGTTACAAATTATTAACAATAGCGTAAAATGACTAATATTTTGATGCATTACAAAAGATTTGGCTAATTAATAGCATTTTAATAGATTTGGCTAATAATAAAGAATTAAAAAAAAATCAGAATAAAAAATAGATATTACCCATATTTTTTTATGAAATAATACAACACCAATTCATCCAAAAACATTTAAATATTGGAACAAAAAATGATACGGCAAAAAAAAAAAATTAAAACCACCAAAATATAAGTTAGGATGAGATTAACGTGTTGCTAACTGACTTCTTAAGCAAAAATCACAACGAAAATAAGTCCTCACCTCATTTATATGATGTTGATATCTAATCTATTAAAGCGCAAGTTTAAAAGTACTGTTCATTACGAATTTATCGGTAATCCTAGGGTCATAATCGCATGCGGTAAATACATTTCACTTTCCCGTGTGCTAATGCATGTATGCACATTGGGCTGGGCAAGTTTTATTTTTTTACCAAAATGGAGCGTCCAATCTTTTGTTGCAAGGTAAGCAGCACTATTAATGCACAAAACATATAGAGGTCCAAACAGAGACTTTTAGTAATTAGGTTTAACATATCATAGCCACCATTTTATAACAATAAAGCAAGTTAAATTCAAAGGTAAGTTAATTTGTACATTGTAGTTTAAGTAAATGTGGTATGTCTATAACTTGATTTTATAATTAGACCATACATTACGGAACATTTATTTTTAGTAATTAGGTTTTACATATAATAGACTCCATTTTATAACAATAAAATCAAGTTAAATTCAAAGGTAAGTTAAAATCTACATAGTTTTTAAGAAAATGTGATGTTTTCTATAAATTTATTTTATTATTAACCCGCACATATCACGAAATATTTATGTAATACCATTCTATAACAATTTTGTAAGTTACAAATATATTATGTAAAGCTTACAAGGGATGCTTATCCCTTATGTCTAAATTAAACAAACCGTATTGTATAAATCTTTCATAATGACTAAGACACTACGTAAAACTTATCGAGTGATAGTAATTTCTTATGTATAAATTATATACGTAATATTTATCTAAACTAAAATTTCTGAATTATTAATTGAATTGTTGACTGACTCATTAATTTGTATTAGCCAAAGGTATTGTAAGGTCGGTTATTTTTTACATACCAACTTAATCAATCAAGTTAAATTCAAATGTAAGTTAAGTTTTACATAGTAGTTTGAGTAAATGTGATTCTATTACGGAACATTACAGAACATTTACATAATAACATTGTGTAACAATTACGTAAGTTACAAATATATAATGTAAGGCTTACAGGGAATACTTATTCCATATGTCTCAATTATACAAACTGTATTATATAAAATTTTCATAATAACTAAGACACTACGTAAAACTTATCGAGTGATAGTCATTTCTTATGTATCAATTAAATACGCAATACTAATTTAAACTAAAATTATTAACTGAACTATTGATCGATTCATCAATTTGTATTGAACAAAGGTTTTATAAGGTCGGTTATTTCTTACATAACAGCTCAATCAATTGTGATACATTTCATAACTTAATTCACCTATTATTAACTAAATTTTTTGTATTGTTACCTGCAACATTCACAATGTCATCAATTCGCATTATACAAAGATTCCGTAAGATAAAATAATTTTACTTAATAGTTTAATGTGAGACTTATCAGTAACTCAAATTTATTACTGGATCACACATTATGGAAAATTTACATAACACCGTTTTATAAAATTTACGTAAATTACAAATACATTATGTAAAATTATGAAATGAAAGTTATTACGTATGTATCAGTTAAACAAAGGATTGCACAAGTCTTCCATAACGACTAAGTAAATACGAAAAGCTTATCGAAGTATCTTCCCAACTATTTTGTAAATGATTCAATCTCAACTAAAATCATTAAATGGAATAATAAATTTCTTACCGCCGCGAAGCGCGGGCCAAAAAACTAGTGTAATTGAATCGTCAAACATCACTTGCAAGATGATCAAAATAGCAGTACACCCATGGGGCATAGACGCATAGTGATCTGACCAGAATTTCATATAAAGTGAGTGGGTTTATCGAGAAAAGTTTTATCATAGGATGATTTTACTTTTACAACAACCTATAATGGTGTTTTTTTTTTAGAAAATGATTATTGATCAAACTACGACTAATGTAACTCTCATTGTCATAGGCGGAGGCAGGCCGATTTGGTCTTGTTACCGGACAGGTATAAATTTGGGAGGAAAAAAATAACTCCTATATATTTATGCAATAATTGAACACAACACATTAGAGTATTTTGTCACTACAGCATAACTCAACTCATTACTTGTTCATAAATATACATTAAATTAATTTATTAAACTATAAACGAAATTCCAATTGCAATAAAGACCTAATCGAATCTCTTTTCTCCTTATGCCTATTCGAGTTTTTCCCCCCAACACCTCTGAAGTTGTCCATCGACAACAGCAATTCCACTAGTTTTGATTCTACCACTTGTAGTGTAGAAATAACATTTTCAGCTTTTAGTTATATTAAAAACAAGTTTCCAATTAAAATTGACGACTAGTTTGCTAATGATTGTTTAGTGAGATACAGTGAAAGAGACTTACATAAGAGTGTAGACACCAAATGTTTTTGTGCCTCTTTCACAATATAAAATCCCGTTGTGGTTGTTTATGAAAAACAATGATTGTATTATTAAGTTATTATCTATGAAACAATAATTTGTATAATTATTTTTAATTATATTTATTAATTAATTGTTAATTAAATATTTATATATTTATTTAACAATTAAGAGGATAGGGGTAGTTTTAAATCCTACTTCGGCCACTGCTCGTTGTGTATTTTTATGTAGCTCATTGCAGAAATCTTCTCTAAACCCTTGAAGTGAAATCTCAGAGACCAAGCCAAACTGTAAACGGCCACTGTGTATCAGGCGATTCTGTGGAAACAGATAAAGAAGTTATCATGAACCTGCGAAATTTCTTACAAATGAAACCTCCATGTATACTTTTCAGTAATGCCAATTGTTCTTCGTGACGGAACTAGCTACTTAGCTGCAACTAATCAGTTCCCCCACACCACACGGACATCATTTTGGTAGGGGTCTGAGATCTGCAATTTTCCCATCACTCTCATTCCATATACATCAGCAAGTTCAAGACAAAATAATCTTACACTTTGCTTGCTCCAGATTAAGTATGCATAAAAACGAAAGTTAATCAACCTCTGATTGTATATATTCATATCCTCCTTCACTGTGTGTTTCCGCAGTAAAAAGGATAAACGATAGTGAATCCAAGGACAAGGAACATTCGGAATGGGCTGGAGGAAAGTTGAGATCCCGAGTTTAGCACTGGGAGTACTACTTGCTCTGTATTTGGCGGCAGCAGATGCAGAGTACCTGCTCTACAAAGACTCAACCCAGCTGGTCGGCCACCGAATCAAGGACTTGATGGGTCGGATGACATTGCAGGAGAAAATCGGCCAGATGGTTCAAATTGATCGTGCCGTCGCTTCCGCTGATGTAATGAAGAACTATTTCATAGGTAAGCGTAAAGGGGGGAAAATACAGAGCACATTGAAAAAAAGACATACTTTGATAAATGCTCTGTTTTATGAGAACAGAAATTTGAAAAAAGATTGCCACTTTATGGTGGGGCAGGGAGTGTATTGAGTGGAGGAGGAAGCGTTCCGGCTCAAAAAGCTTCGCCGGGGACATGGATAAAGATGCTCAACGAGTACCAAACAGGCGCTCTGTCAACCCGGCTCGGAATTCCGATGATCTATGGGGTTGACGCTGTTCATGGTCATAACAATGTCTACAACGCCACCATTTTCCCACACAATATCGGCCTTGGAGCTACTAGGTGATGGCTTCATTTAGTTTCATTCCTCGGGAAAAAAAATTCCAAACTCTTGAGTGATTTGGATGGGTCCTGTTTCAGGGAACCTGAGCTGGTGAAGAGGATAGGCGTGGCAACGGCCCTTGAAGTCAGGGCTACTGGAATGTCATATGCTTTTGCGCCTTGTGTTGCAGTGAGACCTCCTCGAATCTCGTCATGAACTTGTTTGCTTCGATTGTGGTTCCCCGTCGAAAATATGATGAATTCACAGGTATGTAGAGATCCAAGATGGGGACGATGCTATGAGAGTTACAGTGAGGATCCTGAGATTGTTAATGCCATGACGGAGCTTGTCCCCGGCTTGCAAGGAGATATCCCTGCTAACTACCCCAAGGGAATTCCTTACGTCCCAGGAAAGTAAGCAACTTCCACATCTTGCAGCCCTACCAACCTGCCATTTGATACCTCTAGTTTTGAGTCATAGTTTACACAAATCTCGTTATTGAGACAGGACGAATGTGGCAGCCTGTGCTAAGCATTTCGCGGGCGATGGAGGAACAGCAAATGGGATCAATGCAGACAACGCCATACTTGATTGGGATGGTCTGGTGAAAATCCACATGCCTGGATATATCTCCTCCATAACCAAAGGGGTTGCCACTGTCATGATCTCTTACTCCAGCTGGAACAGCATTAAGATGCACGCCCACAAGGAAATGATCACCGGCTACCTGAAGGGCGCTCTGAGATTCAGGGTACATGCAACCTTCTTCCTCTTCAATCACGCACAAGTACTCGAGTTTTTCATAGTGTTCTTCGTTTTGCTGATGTTCCCATTTTGTCCAGGGTTTTGTGATCTCAGACTGGCAAGGAATCGACTTGATCACCAGCCCATCACATGCTAACTACACGTACTCAGTAGAGAAAGCAATCGCTGCAGGAGTCGACATGGTAAATCTCATATTCATATGTGAAATGGGAGGATGGTTTCTTACCTAGTACATGTTGAAGACCTAGTTCTGATGCTTTCTTCTGCTAATAATAATATTCCAGGCCATGGTACCATACAACTACACGGAATATATTAATGAACTAACACAACTAGTGAACAATGGGGCCGTACCAATGAGCAGAATCGACGATGCAGTGCGAAGAATTCTTAGAGTGAAGTTTGTTATGGGTCTATTTGAGAACCCAATGGCTGATGAGAGTTTGGTGAATGAGCTTGACAGCCAAGTAAGTATTCTTCCGCCTCCCCCCACTTCTCTGAGTATTCAAATGGAGCATAGAAGCTGAAGTTGTTTCTATGAGATTTGTGAACAGGAACATAGAGAATTGGCGAGAGAAGCAGTAAGGAAATCACTTGTGCTGTTGAAGAACGGGAAAGATAGTAACCAGCCGATGCTGCCACTCTCTACCAAGGCTCCGAAGATACTTGTTGCAGGTTCCCATGCTGATAATCTTGGATACCAGTGTGGTGGATGGTCAATTGAATGGCAAGGATTCAGTGGCAATGATCGCACTTCCGGTTCGATATTTCGTTCACCAAATGCACCTACAATCATAATAATTAATTGAGAGAGACTCTTTAACAATTAACATGTTTGTTAATTTGTTATGCACATTTCTTCAGGAACCACAATACTCTCTGCCATAAAAATGGCAGTTGACCCAAGCACTGAAGTCGTGTACCAGGAAAACCCTGCAGCAGATTATGTAAAGTCGGACAGTTTCTCTTACGCCATTGTTGTGGTTGGAGAGCACCCATATGCAGAAACAGCAGGGGATAGTAACAACTTGACAATACCTAATCCTGGCCCAAGCATCATTCAGAATGTTTGTGGAACTATGAAATGTGTTGTAGTTCTTATCTCTGGCCGTCCCGTGGTGATTGAACCCTACATGGACTCGATGGATGCCCTAATTGCAGCTTGGCTCCCTGGAAGTGAAGGTCAGGGTGTGACCGACGTGCTGTTTGGTGACTATGGCTTCACTGGAAAGCTTCCCAGAACATGGTTCAAGAGAGTTGATCAGCTCCCTATGAATGTTGGGGACGAAAATTATGACCCCCTTTTCCCATTTGGGTTTGGCCTCACCACTGAGCCAGTGAAGGTCAATTAAACATGATTGTATCCGTTGTCCACTTTCGAGGCAGAGTATTGGAAATAAGAACTGAAATTGTAACAGATAACTGCGGGAAAGTTAGTGTTGTTTTCTTTTAACGAGGAAAGATACTGAATTTATTATAGGTGTTTCAGAACTTAATCATCTTTGCCACGGAGACATAGATGTCACATGACAGGAGAAACACAGAGCTTACAACTACTCCACATTCTCTATAACAGCTGTGTCCTTCGCAGTCCCACTCTCAGCTTCTTCAATCTGCCTCAAAATGTCAGCTTTCTGGTCCATGAGAACTTGTATTTTCCCATTGATCTTCTCCAACTTGTTTTTCAGCTTCTCCACATCCTTGGTCTTGCCCTTCTCATCAAGTTTCCTCTTTTTGTTATCACTCTTCCCTTTCTCTATCTTATCTTTACCATCCTTGCCTTCATTCTTCTTCACGTCATCCTCTGCTTCGCCTTCTGATTCTTTCACATCACCTTTGGTCTCAATACCCCTGGAGCTGGATGTCACTTCTGCCTTGTCAACCTCTTCCTCGACCTTCTTTGCTTTCTCTTCCTTGTCCTCCTTCTTCTCTTTCTTCTTCCTATTCTCATCTTCATCAGTTTTACCCTTCTCTTTCTTCTCCTTTTCCTTCTTACCTCCCTTCTCTTCTTTCCCTTTACCTCCATCCACTTCGTCCTCGTTTCCCTTGTCCTTCTTCTCTTTCTTCTTCTTCTTGCTTTCATCCTTCTGTTCCTTCTCCTTTTTCTCATCATCTCCCTTCACTTCTTTTTCCTTTACACCATCATTCTCCTTGTCCTTTTTCTTCTTTTTGCTTCCATCTTCGCCTATTTCATCTTTCGGTTTCTTCTTCTTATCTCCCTTCTCTTCTTTCTTGTCAGTTTCATCCCTTTCATCTTCATGTTTTTTGTTCTTCTTCTTATCATCTCCCTTCTCTACTTTCTCCTCACTTTCATCCTTCTCACCCTCGTGATTCTTGCCCTTCTTCTTATCTTCTTTCTGTTTGCCTTTGTCTGCTACATCTTTGTCCTTCTTCTTTTTATTTTTCTCTTCAGACCCCTTTTCATTTCTATACTCCTCGTCTTCCGATTCAACCTCCTTTCCTTTACCCTTCACTTCTTTCTCCTTCTCCTTCTCCTTCTCTTTCTTATCTTTCTTCTTCTCTTTACCATCTCCATCTCCAACCTTCTTCTCGCCCTCTTCCTCATGTTTCTCATCTCCTTTAACCTTCTTCTTCTCCTTCACTTTCTCATCTTTCTTCTTCTTCTCTTCTTTCTCTGGTTTATCATCATCATCCACTTTCTTCTTCTCCTTTTTCTTCTTCTTGTCCTCCTTTTCGAGGGACTTGGTCTTCAATTCAAGCTCCAACTCAACCTTATCCTCCTTTGCCTTCTCACCATGTGGAGCTTTGTCCTTAATCTTCAATTTCATCTCCATTTCAGAAGCCGAAGCTTCAGATTTCGGCTCCATCCCTTGAGGGAATCGGAACTGAAACGAAAGTTCTCTCTTTCCCGATTTAAGGTCAACTGTTAATAACAAAACCCAATTAACAAAATTGAGAATTCAGAAGCAGAAGGACACCAGCAAAGCAAATCAAATCAAATCAAAACCGAAATTCAATCAGCGACCTGACAAGGATTCCGATCGCATTCTAACTGATCCGATCAAATGGAATGCAGAACCCCAGACTAAGTCGTGCAAACGATCGGAATTGGGGAAAAAAAGGGAAAGTAGGGTTTAGGGGAAAGTTGGATTGGATGCTTACCTTCGAAGACAAACGAGAAAACTCCAGGAGGCGAGGGAAGAAAGCAATAAGTACTCTTTCTTGCTTCGGTTGTGTTCTGGCGAATTGAGGAGAGAGATCTCTCTCGAAGGAATTGATTCGGTTGTGTCCATCTTCTTCCTCGGTCGGCCTATTTATAGGCTCCCACTTTCCTTCGTACCAGTCTGTTGACATCATTGCAGTGGGTGGGGGAAGAAAATCAGTCGGCGACACGCAAAGGCCACGACCACGACTTCTTTCACCGCGGGAGATGGCGGTGGGAAAAGTGCTCTTCCGAGTTCCTTCCTTTCCCCAGCTGTTCACCCTCTTCTCCCCTTTGCTTTTACTTTTTAACTTCCTCTAGTCCTGTTTTCTGGGCCGTATTTGGATGATTGGCAATCCCATGATTTGGGCCTATGTAGATAAGCCTGTTTAGTAGTTGGGTTTGGACTAATGGGCTTCTGGCTTCGTTGTAGGGCCAATACTACGGTGCCGCTATTAAAAAGTGCGGCACCGGTGACGCCATTTATGATTGGTCCACATGAACAATAATATGGCACTGGTTAAGTTTATTAAACCCCAACCTAAATCAGGCGGTCATGAGTCGGCCAAACCGCCACCGCCATAATGGAGAAGCTTTATTCCGTCTTCTTATCTCCGTTTTTCAATTTTTTTTCTTAATTCCTTTAAAATTCATATTACTTTTCTACGCAATATATAATAGCAGGAAGGGAACAAATTTTGCTCCATTTCAAATTTCCTGCAACGAGAGTGAAAGTAGGAAGGACATTTTGGTCTTCACAATGACTTTTTTTATTCATTAAAAAGACACTTACTAATATTCGAAACATGACCACTTTAAAGAAAAGTAAAGATCATAAACAATAACACTAAATACATTTGTTGTATTTTTTTAAATTAAAAACATATATACTGCGACATGCACGGTAGTGGCGAGCTCTCCCACTCCAACGAGCGACGACACCATCGAAGAAAACGACTAAGGTGGCGAGCGCCCTCCAACTCTCATTTTGCCCCACTTTCCCGTCACAATCGCCTCTCTCCATCCACCATCCCATTTCGATCTCTCTTTTGGCTGGATTTGTACGAAGGACAAGAAGAGAAAGAAAGAACACTCGCTTCCGGAAGAGAGCAGCGGCAGCTAGGGATGGCAGTGAGTCGGGGTTGGGTCGGGTTTTTCCAAACTCAAATCCATGGGTTTATCCGTAAAAAACTCGAGGTAAAACCCAATGGGTTTGGAAAACTCAAACCCAACCCGTTGGGTATCCACGGGTTCATGGGTACCTATTAAAATAGAAGTCAAACATCAATTTCTCCATACATAAAACAATAGTCTAGAAAATTGAAACAATTCACAAATTATAAATTAGATTGGGGAAATTAGAATTAGGGTATGATTTGGAGAGACTAGGCGACAAAATAAGTGTGGGCGGGTATCCATGGGTCGTGCATCCCGAAACCCAAAACCAACCCAGTGAAAGTGTAACGGGTTTAAATCTGAACCCGACCCGAAACCCGTCAACACTGTTTTAACTGCGTTGACCGGGTTGGGTCAGGTAGGGTACCAATGAGTTCGGATTTTGTTGCCATCCTTGGCGGCATTATATCAATAAAATTGAAAAAGGGTAGGGGAATTAGGGGTTCTTCGGGTGGGACCATGGGAGGGAGGCAAGCGAACGGTTCCAATTTTTTATTCATATTTAATATTTTTTAAAACCAATTTTCTCATAAGATGGTGTACGGCTGGGCATGCAGGCGGATCATCAGCCGGTTGGGCCGACCGACTCGCATTTGAACCGAATTTCATTGTGTGAGTGGGTATGTGGATGGGTGACCCGCTCAACCCAACAGCAAAAAGAATAAAGTCTTTGGTGCTGGAAAGAGGAGAGTGGAGACATTAGATGGAAACTAGGGTTGCTCCTGCAGATTAAATCTCAAAACCAACCTTCCAAATAGCGTCCCCTCTTCTTCCCTTTATTTTTTTCCTCTGATCTTGTGCCTAGATCACCTCTCTTTCCTTCGTTAAATTATTTTTCTTAGTTCCCTGTACTTGATAATCATCTTCATCTGTAGAAAATTCATCCATAAAAGAATTTCTATCTAATTTCAGAACTAATTCGACATTTCCCCCGTATTCCATCTTCTTGTTTCCGCCCGATAACTCTCTCCACTGATTATCATGTCAAGTTGAATCCTTTATATTATATACATAGTGATGTGGGTGAACCCACAAACCAACCCGCATCATCCATCATCCGCCGACCCAACCCGAAACTAAATATGGGTGGGTGGTAGGTTAAAATTTATCAATTCGTTTAAACGCGGGTGGGTACATTTTTATGGTCAAAATTCGCCCGACCCACTCAATGCCCACCCCTACCATAATGTTCCAGAGAAGAAGAGTCACATATGATTTTCACGGTTGAAACCGGACCGGATTCAATCCAATCCGGTCACGGTTGAAACCGTATCCAATCCAATCCAATTTTCAGTTGTATATTAAGCAATTTTAGCATACAAAAAACTGGGTAAAATCAGGGTGTTAGACACTGTGTTAGACACTGTCGTGCGCACTATAGTCATATCTCCAACAATCACGTTTCATCATCATCTACAACTAGTTACCACCCTATATTAGGGTGGTATATTTGGTCCTGAAAACTTTTTATTCTGAAATTTGTAGATCTAGTAGATTACAATGAACTAGTTTCTTTTGAACAAAAATGTCCAAAATTTGAGTGAAAAACAAAATAGTACAGAATAATACGGGGCTGGCAACAAATGGCATGGGTAATAAAAAAAAATCGAAATATATTTAAAATGAATATCGGCGACAAGTTTCTCGTCCATGTCAATAACTAGGGATGGCAATGGGTCGGGTTGGGTCGGGTTTTGCCAAACCCAAACCCAAACCCATGGGTTTATCTTTGAAAAAAACCCGGGGTAAAACCCACCGGGTTTGAAAAACTCAAACCCAACCCAACCCGTTGGGTATCCGCGGGTTCATGGGTACCCACGGGTTTTGTCGTAAAAAATTTACAATTACAAGTTCTTATCAAAATTAAAGTCAAATATCAATTTCTCAATACAACTTATCCATATATAAAACAACATTATAGAAAATTCAAGCAAATCACAAATTAACTATACAAATTGTTCAACACCAATCTAGAAAACTCAAGAAAATTGAAGCAAATCACAAATTATCCATAAATAACATGTTTAATTGAAAGCTTCTTCCTTTCAATTAAGTTTCTTTACTCTCCACTCCATAACATCAACTTCATTCTACACAATTAAAAAGAAAAAATTAGACATGTCTCCACAAACATAAATAAGATTAGTTGTTTAGAATATTAAAGATACGGAAAAAATTAATTATATGGGTAAGCGGGTACCCACGGGCCGGGTTTACCTAAACCCAAACCCAACCCGGTGAATAGTGAATGGCTTTAAACCCAAACCCGGCCCAAAACCCGTCAACACGAATTTTACCCGCGTTGACCGGGTTGGGTCGGGTGGGTACCCGTGGGTTCGGGTTTTGTTGCCATCCCTATCAATAACACCCACAGATCTTTTCTATATATAAGAATGGCCAATTGGCCATAAAGGACTGCAATGTTAATAACATAATTGTACCGCAGTGAAGCGTGAATAAATGCTAAAACAAGGTACTTAATTTAGAACATACTCTTACTTATACAGTTTCCAGCGGCGTTTTGCAGACGAACCGCTATCCCAAATTCGAACCGAGCTGGTACGCACGCCGCTGTCTCTCTCTCTCTGTCCCGTCCCGTTCGTTTCCAACACGAAAAAAGCGGCAAGGTTTACTTCTATTGGCCTATCTATCTTGCTTTGGGAAGAAGAAAAAAGCAAGTTTTAGAACCCTAAATCCCTAGTTGGAGGTCTGGTTTCTCCTCATTTCCCCCCTCTTACTTCTTTAGAAGTGGAGCCAGGTACCTTTTCCCTTTTCCTCCTTCCCAATTTAAACGCTCGACAAAAAGAGACCCAACACATCATCAATTGCTTCTTCTTTATGGGCGCTCCTTCAGCTGCGTTAGATTTTTGTTGACGGCAGAGACTTAGCTACAGAGAGGAGGCAGCGAAGCCGTTCTGTTTGAGCTCCTTCATTAGTTCCCTCCCTCTTCTTCTGCCACGATGAACGACCTCTTAACGGTAATAAAGTTTGCAACTTTCGATCATGTTAAACATTGTTTTTGTTTGCGAATTTATGGTTGGTTGGCGTTTTATCCAATAGTGCTTTTGTCTTGATCTAGTTGTTTGTATAGCTCTGGAATTTCTATTTTGTCCGCCAGCTTTCTCTGAATCGCGATCCGACGTTGTTTGCTGGCGAGGCTCTTGTTTTTTATCCTCACGGTTGGTGCGTAATGGCAGGACAGGGGAATTTGAGTTTAGGATCTTGGAACGTCCAGAATATATGGATCGAGCTCAAATTTTTTGGAACCTAGGCTCTCGTTTGGATTGATTGAGTTCCAATCTGAATTTCTCTTAGAACTGCTCTACAGCTATGAAAACTCAGTAATCTGCATTGTCAAGTGTAGTATGCTCGTGAAACTTCGGGAGAGTGATACTGGATCAAGTCTTATCCATAATTCAGTGTTTGCGTAGCGGTGTTGTGTTTGCTTTTGCAGCCGTCATTCGGCTGTGTTCCACATTCATGATAAGTTCCACACTAGATGTTTGAATAGCAGATCAATATACTTATCAATATTGGTTGTTGAAGGTTCTTATTGTTGTCTTGTTTATTATTTTGATTAATCTGAGGTGAGAGATATGCTGAGACCTCTTGTTTTGACTTCTGCAGGAGTCGTTTGAAATCCCTCGGGATCAGGGTTCCAGACCTGCTGATATTGAGATGGGAATGACCTCTGGGGAATTGGGGTTGGAGAATTTCTTTAAAAAGGTGATTTGGATTCATGTGGTGTCTCTTGTAGCAAATACCCTTTTTGTGCTGCAGCTGTATGGAGTTTAGGTCTAATATTGTTTCTGTTCTATGTTCCCCAGGTTCAAGAGATTGAGAAACAATGTGAAAAGCTCGATAAGCTACTTAAAAAGCTCCAGGTTTGAGCCTTTCTCCCCTCCTCATCTTGTTGATTTTGTTGGGTCAAACTTGTCTTTACTCTTTACGGCCAGGTGGTATTTTTCAGTAGCTCACTTTGAATGACACTTTGGTATCATCCGAGTAATTGTTTACTTTTGCTAAGCAGTGTAGCAAAAATTGGATCCAATGTTAGATTACACTTTGGTATCTTGTCTTTACTCTTTACGGCCATGTGAGATTTTAATCCAATGTTTCCTTGCCTTCATTTTGAAACTAAGACCCAGCTGGATTCCATGTCTGATTTATCCATTGCAATGCATCTGATCAAGAATGGTTTGCACAAATAACAAGTCCTAAAGGCTCACTTGTATAATTGTTGCAAATGTTCTGTTGTGCGTTTTATGATTATCCTCTTTTTAATTCCTTTTGCAGGATGCGCACGAGGAGTCCAAGGCTGTGACTAAGGCTCCTGCCATGAAAGGTAATGACTTCGTCATGTTCCTCATTGTACCTTTGCTTCTCTTCTAGACTGAGTCAATTTAAGTATCATGACAATCTGAATGATTAACAAATCTTTCAAAAAGAATGGACCAAGTAATCAACTTTGAGCTATCCATTTCCTTTCACACCTGAAATTTGGTTGAAAATGACTAGAGAATCATTGAAAAGTTGGTGTCTACAGGTTTATAGTCAATAGAACGATTACAATTTGAACAGCGACTTAGTATTAGGTGAATACAACCACAAGTGATTAGTCTCATCATGGGCTCCTTTCTGTTACGAGATCCCTAAATAACTTTATTATGGGCTTCAGTATGAGCTTCACACCGCTTTCCTAATTCTTAATAGTGTTTACAAGGGCTCTGAACTCCTGGCCTCATATTTTCTTCTTTAGTTTGGGGCTGAGCATCACTGTTTTATTTATCTTTCTTGATTTTATTTCCTGCAATCAATATTAATGTTTAGTTCCTGTACCTGTAGCTTGAGTGTTTACTTGCTTTCATTTACAGCAATCAAGCAGCGAATGGAGAAAGATGTTGATGAAGTTGGAAAGATTGCTCGATTGACTAAAGCAAAAATTGAAGCACTTGACAAGGAGGTAAGAGAAAGTTACTGCTCGGTACATCTGGTTCCCTAAGATTGCTTTACAATCCTGCTTTGTGTTTGTCCAGAATTTAGCAAATCGTCAAAAGCCATCGTGCAGGAAAGGAACTGCAGTTGATCGATCAAGAACTTCAACAACAGTGTAATTTATATCGACCACTTTGTTCAAAAAAATTTTCATAATGAGACTAGTTATGTTAAAGTGTTGCATTTGACAATTCCTGTGATGGTCTTATGCATGATCCTGTTTAGTAAGAAATTTGGACAGTTAACTTTCATGCGATAGCATTCAGCAAACTAAAAGAACTAATAGCATTTAACAACATATCATGCAGTTCGTTGAAGAAAAAGTTCAAAGACAAGATGGCTGAATTTCAGGTAAATCCATCAGCATCACATGGATTTATCTTTACATGTACCCTGCCCTGTACTCTTGTTCACAGCAATATTATCATGCAACTTTTTCAGTCTCTAAGAGAAATGATCCAGCAAGAGTATCGTGAAGTTGTGGAGAGACGCGTATTCACAGGTTTTCCCCCCTTTCCATATCTCATCTTCCTGCATTCTATGATTTGTCTTCAGCATTGACTTTTGAGGCTTGCATATTTGGTGCTCATATGTCTTCCATTTCGATTTCCAGTGACGGGTACAAGAGCAGATGAAGAGGTAGATCTTGCAATGACTGTATATACCAGCAGTAATTTGGAATTTATGTTGCATTATCCAACTAACTATTCAATAATCTTCAGACAATTGACCAATTGATTGAGACCGGAGATAGTGAACAAATTTTCCAGAAAGCAATTCATGAACAAGGGCGAGGCCAGGTATGTGAATATTTCCATTCTTTGCCTGAGAATTTGTTAGAAAAACTGAAAAGGAGGTGAATTACTTTCAATCTGGAATGATCGCATGATAAATCCCTCTCTCTTTTGTGGATGTTTTGCATGAATAGGTAATGGATACCCTGGCAGAGATTCAAGAGCGTCATGATGCAGTCAGAGATCTAGAAAAAAAACTATTGGACTTACAACAAGTATGTAATTATTACTATCACCTCCTGTCAACTCCCGGTACTGGTGAAAATAATCAAGGAGTTGCGCATGTCTGATAATATTCTGTAAACTAAGATGAAATGTGAGGCAAAGCTCATAGCAGTTCAATAACAGGACAAACATAAGTATTAGTGCTATGATTAGACTGCGATCAAGTGGCTAGGTGCAGACTGTTTGATCTGAATCCACGTGTCATCTTCATTTGCAGATCTTCTTGGATATGGCAGTGCTGGTGGATGCACAAGGCGATTTGCTCGACAACATCGAATCACATGTAAGTGAGAACTGCCTTTTCTGTTATATTTTCTGCTAAGTGAAAAATGGGATTCCAGAAAATTCCCTGAAACTCTTTCTTTATCTAATTTTATGTGTTTCAGGTATCGACTGCAGTAGATCATGTACAGTCAGGGAATACTGCTCTCCAAAGGGCAAAGTCGTATCAAAAGAGCTCTCGGAAATGGATGTGCATTGCCATCATAGTCCTTCTCATCATCGTTGCCTTCATTGTAGTGGGAGTACTCCGGCCGTGGACTAACAAGAGTGGTGCTTAATATCTTCATGTTTTATTACGTGTTGATGCCTGTGTCGATTGTACAATATGTTCGTCACCACATTTAGCGACTTTGTTTGGAACCCCATTCCGGAAGTTGTTTCAAAATCTGAAGAAGAGTTGTCTTTTTCATAATCTTAGTGATTAGTGATTACTCTGTAGTTGTGAAAATCTCTTTGTGTGCTCATTCAACTCTGCAGATAAATTTTCTGTTTGTAAAAATGGTACCGTGATAGTATACATATTCTCGCTGCCCCATCAATTGGATGACAATTTGCCTGCAAATTCCTCATCCTTTGTGTTCTTTCATTTGCAGTTTCATAAATTGGAAATCTGGAATAAACCATGTCATCCGATCTAGAGGAAAGATCGAAAGGGTTAATTTGAAACTTGGAAACTCCATCACACAACACTGCAGCAATAGCATATACAAATCGTTAACAGAATTGCAACGATGAACAAGGATGCAGTAAGATAACATAATTTAATAAGAAGGTAATAGTACATAGAAATCTATATAACAATTTTTAGTTTGGACCGATGCAAATTCTTCAGCTAGCTTTCTTCCTGTGCTTTATGCGGTAGGATAGGAAGCTGACATAGCAATGCCACAAAGACCACCTTTGGCACCAACGTCACGTTGCATTTTGATATATCCTTGATCTCCCCAACTAGCCCCCCATGAATTCCTCACCAGCCAGTACTTGGCACCATCATCACTTGTACCATACCCTACAACAGCTACACCATGATCCAAGTTCGTTCCACAGTCTCCAGTGAACACACCACTCGAGTAGAACTGGAAGGCAGAGCTACTGGCGTCAATTGCGACAGAGATAGGTTGGTTTGCAGCGGCCTTCAGCAATGCCTGCTCGTCATTGGCAGGCACATCTTCATACCCATTGATCTTGGTCGCAGGAGAGGTTGTCTTGGTTGTGCTGCAAGTTCCATCCGCGGCTGTGTAAGGGTAATTGGATTCGGTGGTGAGTCCCTTGGCCTTTACAAACTGAAAAGCACCATCCATTAGTCCTCCGTTGCAGCCTTGGTCGTTACCGGATGTGTCACAATCAATCAATTCTTGCTCCGACAGAGATACCAACTTTCCGGTTGAGATCTTTGTGATTCCTTCCACTGCTGCCACTGCAGAGAAAGCCCAGCACCCTCCTACAGGTAGATTTTGGCAGGCACAAAATCATTAAATAAAGGTGTGACATTGATGAAATGGAAAATTGAAAAGAAAAGGTTTGAACTTATGTTTTTTGTGAGGCTTACCACATTGACCTTGATCTTTGATTGGATTCACAGCTCCTTTGGTTCTCCAATCCATGGTGTCTGGCACTGAGCTCGCATTCTCATATCTGAATGAGGAAGATCCAGGGTTGATGAGATTCGCTGGTTTCTTGAATCCAGTTTTTGCAGCCCTGAATTCCTTGTTGGTCAAGTCAGCATATTGATTGATGGCTAGCTTGTAAGTCTTGTTCCCAAACTTGTTGGAGTGGTTAATGAAGGCCACATTCTTCTTGAAGATGCTGAAGCGCCTTGCCTTCTCTCCTGCAACCTCGTAAAACCGTCCATGCTCAGCACTCCACGCTTCAAACCTTTCTTCGATGCTTCTACTAACCCGAGGAGGCAGCGACGATCTTGCAGAGAGGACTCCACAGGCATAGATCGCCAGCAGCAACACCGCCATTAACATCAGCTTGTTCCCAACTACTGATGAAGCCATCGCTGCTATATTCAATCTAGTGATTTGATTAATTCAGACTGAGTTGTCGTGGGAATTTGTTTGAGATCAAATATAACTCTGGCCTTGTGGAGAATTTATAGTTGCTCCATGTGTTGGTGGTGTGTGCCAAGTTGCAGCATAATTTTGAACGTTGAGCTGAACTTGCATGCTGGCATTAAGAGCTAACAATGCGGATAAAATGGTAGTCAAGTAGATAATAGCCTGTTCTTTGGCAGTATGTACTTATTATGCTGTGGCTTGACGGTACCATCGTTTTAAGCATTTGCTATTGGAATTCGCCAAAAGTACTGTACATAGCTATAATAGTATTGATTTGAGTCGATTGCCTTAACCTGCTCAAACATTCCCTTGTCCCTTCCTTTCCTCTGCCTCACCCTTCCCGGTTCCGACCCAGACGAGAGATGTAGCAGTTTTGCAAGGAATAAGGTAGAGCACCGTATATAGAAATCATAAGAATCAAAATATGTCCATGATCTGTAATGTGCAAGAACTCTTTTCTATATAAATGGTATACAAGAATTTCTTTTGTTCTTTCTCTTCTGCTCCTGTGACTAGAACTAGGGCTCTGTATTTCCTTTACTTCAATCTACTTACAGAAAACAAAAGCAAAAAATGAATACTTATTCTCTGCAAGACAAAAGAGAATAAACCCAAAAAAGAGACCCTGTCGTGTATATATAGCTAATAGCTCTGTGTGTTCTCAAAATTCTCATTCCAGAATGGATTCTGCTGCCGGATAGTGACTACTGAGCACTGACCACCATCACCTTCAAAAAAATCAAAGAACAGAGTATCCTGCTGTTTCCACTTTCTAGTCATTAGGATCCCATTCATCATCTTGGTTAATAGCTAGAGTTAGACTACTCTTGCTACTAGCATCTGAATCATCTTGTGCTTCCTTCGTCTCATTTTCATACTCCAACTCAGTATCTTCATTGGAAGCCGCTCCTTCTCCAGCCACAGCCTCAGAAGATCCGTCCTGATTGTTGTTCTGCATCATCCATTTAGGACACTCATCCTCATCTTTCTTCAGTATGGTTGGGACCTCAGCAGCAGCAGCTGATGGTGGCATTCTACAAGAGCATTCTGGGAATGGGTGGGAAAGGAATGAAGCAGGTTTCGACTTAAGAGACTGCCAGGCAAACCCATCTTCACCAAAGCTTTTGTTTAGATGTTCCCTAATTGAAATGGTCCAGTTGAACTTAGGATGGTACATGTCGTCTCGAATAGATTTGAAAGATTCCTGGATAGTTTTCCTGTGCGAGGATAATTACATAAGCTGTTAGTAATAGCCACTGCTATTAAGCAGTATTTATCAAATGAAGAAGATAAGGAACCAAAGAATGAAATTCAGCCAAGAGAGCACAAGTAAAAACAAGCACTCAAATGTCTTGCCTCTTTTCACACGACATCAAGAGAGAACATTTGACTAAGAATGTGGAGACATTACAAATGCTCCCAAGGATTGTGGCTTGCTTACCTATCTGGTCGAAATGTTCTAGAGGAAGCCTTCTCGTAAAGCCGCTGCCCCATGATAAGGCTTGAGAAATCAGGCCATCCACTACCATCATTGTTGAAACCAGGGAAAAAGACATCAGCTTCCAAAGATACAATGTAATCAAGAGCATCCCAAAGCAGCCTGTGAGCTTGCATCCTAAGATCTGCTGGTGAAGGATCTGGTTCAGTGTCTGTTTCGGTTATCCAACCATACCAACCTTCCTTTTCATGCTGATAGATAGGCCTCTCTGGAGGTGGAGGCAAAGGCCGAGGCCTAGGACCTGCTCTTTTCCACTCTTCTTTAAGCTGTTCATCACTTTTACCAGGAGGTAGTTTAAACGGATTTGGAGGCAATAGAGGTTCGGGACCAAGCAAATCAATCAACTCTTGCTTGCTGCAAAATGAAGTATAGTCCACCAAGTTTGCAAACATTGCGCGCAGAGGAATTAGAAGACGTTGGCCACCAAACGTTTCAGACCCAGCCATATATATAATTGTATTAGCACGATAGCCCATTGCTCGGAGAAGAAGTCCAACCTACAGAGGTTAGAAAGGACAAATAAGTGACTACAGATAAGGACACTTGTACAAGATAAAGCATAGAGAAACGTAAAAGAGCCGACCCTTCATCCACACTTTAAAGAACAGAGAAAAAAAAATTATTGATATTGAAAAACAAGTAGTCTCCTAAAAAATGTTTATGACAGATCAAGTAATCCTTCAGAGGCAAGAAACTATACCGACTAGATCTGTAATATGCAATATATTTTTTAACATGTATCCTGATAAGTCTTTTTTATGGCAAGTTTTAGCCAAACAATTAGCAACCAATCTAGATAATTGGAACATTTAAAACCAATTGATTACCTCTTCTGGCATAAGTGGGCATGAGCCGTTGTCTCTACGTATGTGAGAGTCAACACTTAATTTGTCAGTAACCACCCCTCTCTTGATCAGCTGTGCCCTTCTATATTGTATAAGTTCAGTGTGCACATCCTATAATGTGTGAACAGTCCAATAAAGAAAATGAATAAAGTCGAGAAAGATTCAATATGTCGAGTAACAAATCTACCTGCTGTGAAACAGGGAACACTGCCTGTGAATGTTACTATTCCAAACCAGTAAACCATATAGCCAAAAGAGGAAACACCAGATGGCAAGGTAGCTTAGAAGAACAACTAGCCTGGAAAAGTTCTGCACAACCATGATGAGCCAGGGTATCCCTCATCAAGCCAGGATGATATGCGATGTAAGGCTGATCCAAACCTTGCAATCTGCGGGAAAGAGACCAACAAGCTTATCCAAAAAAAGAACTGCGAATACTTTTTCTTAATCTACCAAGGAATTAAAGGTCCCAAGCATAAAATGGCATACAGAAAGGCTCCTTTTTGTTTTCTTTATATCTATCTGGACAATGATTGCATTTGCAGACTGTACTATTCAAGCCATTAACTCATGCTCAGCATTTAAACAATTTCTAGAAAAAATTTCTCTTAGTAATTTAAAATCACATTGCACACAATGTATTAAGTTTTTCATTTGCCACACTGATGACTTTAGCAGGTAGAGGAAAAATCACTATACCTGTCAACAATACGACGTCCAAGAACTTGGAGTTCTTGGCGAAATTGAAGAGCATGAAAGGCGACTCTGCATCTCAGTCGCTGGAACTCACCCATACTGGGGGGAAGAACTGACTGAACAAAGGTCAATTGCAAATAAAGAATCAACACACAAAGAGCAATCCATTTTTCTCCGTTGCATAATCAATCAAACAGTAACGAGCTTCAAATCTTTCAAGATGTCCCTTGACAATAACTGGCGTCCGCGGTTACCACTAAGCAAGCATCCAAACATTACCAAAGTGTAACTAAAGAATTCGTAATTAGTTAACCAGGAAGACAGATATATAAAAATAAAGAAGACCAATCAATCTCAGTACTAGAGTTGTACACAGCAGATGGCAGACAAAAGGTTCTTTTTCTCTACACAACTGAATGCCAAGAGTGTAACTACCTGCATACAGCCCCCATCAGCAAGAATCAGACCAACAACCTTCGATTTCTTCAATTTTGGCAAAATTTCTTTGATATAGAAACTTGGAGTAGCAGAACTTTTGGGCTTAAAGACAGGAAACTCATTCCTCTTTCTCGCCGCCTTCAAATTCTCAGGCAAGGTCTTCACAATTCTCACATCATTTTTCAGTGAAGCTATGAACTGGTCCTCATCATAGAGATAAGAAAAACTCTTGAACTTGGAACTGTCGGAAGAACAGTAAATTAAAATTGATAAGGAATGACGGAAGACAAGCTTTTCTAGCATGGGGAATTGATGATGACAGCATGAATCAGCTACATCAATAATACCTAATGCCTTTGGAGCGGAGACTATCTTGAATCTCTGGAATGACAAGAGTAGCATTTAGAAGCCTGGATATGGTGACAAGATCACATATCTAGAAAATTGAGAGAAAAGTTATGAACTTCAAAAGAAAATTAACTTTCTTAACATAAGGCCTGCAATAATCATCATATGAATCATACCGAAGATCTTATATTTGAAAAGCCACCATAAACCTTTGCATATATATAACCATTGCTCTTCTCACTTGGTACTGCAAATGAAAAACAATTAGGTATCAGTAATCCAATGAAATAGATCCAAGAGCCATAGAGTAATGCCACCAGCGACATCGTTCCCAGAACTAACATTCTAGTTGGTATATTTATAACAACTGTCTATACCAAAACAAAGTATTGTCATGCGAAGCAATTAGTTAAACAACTGATTCAAACATTTCAGCTAGAGCAGTGCCTAAGAACAAGAAGCTGATAGAAGTAGTTCGGCCAATCCCTCAAACCAAATCCGAATTAACATTTGATAGTAAAGCACGAAGTAGCTCAAACATAAACTGAGCGAGCCAGAGCAAAAGGTATTACCAGGGTAAATTGTTCTCGGGTTAGCATAAGGCTGCAACGACTCCAAGGCCTTAACAGGACCCCACAATTTCTTGTTTCTAGCTGGTATAACTCTCTGCAACAAACACCACCCAAAAAGGGGAAACCCCCAAATCAAACTATGAACAAAACTACTGCACACAGCACATGCAATTGCAATGCAGAGCAATGTGAAAGGTCAGGGAGTTCAAACAAAAAGGGAGGACCTTTGATCCAGGGGAAGCGGTAGGCAAATCGAAGCTGAGAGCAGGGACGGCAGTGTACTGAATCAAATTAGTGGCGGAGAACTTGGTAATGGAGAGGTGAACGATTAGGGATCCAGTCGATAGCATCAAGACCACTAGAACTATCCATTTTATCCTCGATTTGAACAACAGCACCATCTTCCGAGTTTCCCCCACTTTCACTCTATCGTTTTTTCAACTCATCGCCCCTCTCAATTAGATTCGCCAGACCATTGAAACCCTACTGATCAACGGAAAGGAAAAGGAAACCCCCTCAGGAAAGCATCGAAATCGAATCGTCACTACCCAGTGATATATAGCTCACCCCGAAATGCAAATTCCTCCCGAGATTCACAGAGGAAACGGAGAAATCACCTGGGAAGTCAACGGAACTTGGAGACCCTCAGAGTGAAAACTGAAACGGAAACCGTCATCAACCAATAGGGGAGAGAGGGACAATTAAGAAACAGAACTTTGTGTCTCGAGATTCGCTGATTTCTTGGATTTCTGAGTTCTTGGGGGCAGAGTGT